TCTCTCTCTCTCTCTCTCTCTCTCTCTCTCTCTCTCTCTCTCTCTACTATCAATCTCTTCTACTAAATTTATTCTAGAAACCTAAAAAATTAGATTTTTGAAAAATTCAAGTGTTATTTCGAAAATTGGTACGCATTCTAATAATTTCTACATTGATAACCAAATCTTGCATTTTATTTATTAATTTATTTGCATTATAAATTATGTAATGTATTATTTTTTCTTACAATTATCAATAATATATTTTAAATTAGATGATATTATAAGATACTTCATCCATGATAATTCTATGATTCTTCTTTTGTGTGATGTAAATTTAATGGTTAACATAAGTTCATACAGGAAAAGAACAACTCAATATTCGCATATTGATGAAAAAAATGAAAGTTAATAATGTAGTACCCCCATTTTTTATTGGATTCCTAAAAATCAACATTTATAATGATTTTTAATAATTTTTTTTTATTTTTTTAGTTGCCGAATCTGACCGACTCGGCCGATTCCCAATCCGAAATGCCAATTCACCGATCCGGATGGGTTTTTGTGGTGCCCGATCAGGGGCACCAATCCGTTTTTTAAACCACTAGTCAAGACACATCATATCATATTATTAATGCAATATACAATAGCAACAACTTCAAATGATTCTCCAGTAATGAAAATTATTCAAATTTTATGTTAGAAGTTAAAACACTTCATCTTCATAGAAAACAAAAAGCTCAAAATACTTGATTGAAGCAAAAGTCAAATGAAAGGAGATTTTCTCAACAGATAAATGGAAAAGGTACATCTCGTGTCATTATTGCAAATAAGCTACTGTGCCAAGTCCATGCCCTATAATGCACAGCACAATCAAACTTTTCGATGGCAGCTAAAACGCAGAAAAGGTGGCACCATATATATTTTCTAGAAGGTACACTGATGTAGATGATTTAAACACTGAAATGGAGCCCCTTTATAGAATTTTCTACCCAGCCCTATAAACAAAATTGCCACTGAGTTTCCCCTCTCTAGACTCCTCGGTTGGTGCAGTTCAGGAGATATGCATTGGCACTTGCAGTCACAGTAATAAACCACTCATATACTTTAAATTTAATATTTTTGTAAACAGATGTATGTGTTTCACTATTCTAGTTTTAAATTAATCAACCAAAACAAGGGATAATTGCAGCAAATGGCAGTTGGCCCACAAGACAGGGAAACCACCTAATGACAACCCAAACATTTCCTAAGCATGCACGATAACAAATGATTCCATGGAATTACAAAACAAAATAAAAGAGTATCAAAGTTTCAATTTTTTTACTTTTTTATGTAAATGGGTTTATTTGTCAGAACTCTGACTTGAAGTTCATCAACCAAAACGAAATGGGGGGAAAATCAAAGAATTCAGCAGTTGACCTGAAACATGACAAACCAACTGATCATAACCAGAAAGAGTTGCCCCTCCAAACCCTAAACAAACACATCATGCGGAAAACACCAAAATACACCAAAGGGAAGGTTAAGAGAGGGGAAGAAAAAAACTAAAATTCCCCCATTTCCTCAATTAAATTCCCTGCCAAGTTGGGCAAAATAAAAATTCCCATAAAGCTAGACAAAAATTCCCATAAGCGTTCTTCACATCAAAAGGAAAAAACTCAGAAGCCCCTTTGCTTAGTCCATCACAAACAACAAAGCCATCACCGAACAACAGGGAAGAAAACAAAAACCTACTTTTACAGAAAAGATACGAATTTCACAGTAGAAGCGCAACGGAAATTTAACAGAAAGGGTTACAGAGAAAAAGAAAAGTCAAAAGAAACCACAAAGAGAATAAAAGCCACTTAAGAGAAATTCATAATCAGGAAAGGAATGTGCTTTCACAGAAAGGGTACAGAGAGGAAGATAGCACAAAGGGAATACCCCAATAACAAAAATCAGGGAATTTTCCTGGTACGAAACAATGAATGTTTACAGAAATGGCAAGACCGAGAGAGAGAGAGAGAGAGTAGGTCAAAAACACCATACTGAAGAAGAGAGAGGGAGTTTGAGAAGCAATATAATTGCTACAGATTCCAATAGGGAGGATCAAAAAGAGGTATATCACCGAGAAAGAGAGTAGAGCGAGAGAGAGAGAAAGGCCATTCTAGAGAGAGAGAGAGAGAGAGAGAGAGAGATACCGCATATTTGATGGGTGCCTCAAGCTCGAGGAGGTTGGGCTGTTGCATGAAATGTCGTTTGGAGACGACACAGAGCTGACGGATCTCGGACTCAGAGAGCTGGACCTGCTTTCCTGACCTTGTTCCTCTCACCTCAGAAGCCTAGCAATGATATCATCGACGTA